GTCTGAAGATCTACTTGTAACTGACTATTAATAGATTCAATATTGAAATCAGACAAAAAAGAACAGTATCATCAGCATACATTAAAATACAGTATTTGAAAACTTCAATATTTTTGGAAGGTCATTTATGTATAATAGGAAAAGCAATGGGCCCAGTATGCTACCCTGCGGAACTCCCACGGAACAGGGCAGAGACCCGGACACAGAGCTTCCATGTTCCACAACCTGACACCTAAACATCACTGTCATCTCCAGCTGAGACAGATAATCTGTATTATCCATCACTAAGAGAATATTGATAGTCAGACTTACTATCTGTCTCACAGACCACTGTCCCGTCGTTTGGACAGAAACGTGTCTCCACCTTCCTTCGTCCAATCTGCAGCTCGTGGGGATCGGACAGGTGGGCCCGGCACATGTAGCGCATCCTCTGCTCCTGGCGAGCCCCCACTTGAGTTACATTAACAGGCATCCAGGGGGTCCAAGGTGTGTTTCTCTTAACCTCTGGACATGCCTCCAGGTTACAGGCCTTGTACTCCTGAAAGACACGACGACACATTTCACATTTCAGCCATCATTTCAAAGCAGATCAAGTGTGATCATTTTTGTTTTRACTGGTGGAAGTCCTACAATACAGATAGTAAGTAAAGAAACTTGAGCCAAAGATCATTGTTCTGTTGCTCAATTTGATTTCAGCCATGGTAGAGATGGTCTCATATTTGACTCACCACGTCTGAGCTGAGGTAAATTTATCAAATTTACCTCATTGAAAAAATAAATTTGAGTAGAGTTTTGATCAATTTATAGATWAAGAAGCATGTCTTATAATAAAAACACAATTCAGTGACAGCATGTTATTGTTTCAGTTCTTGTTTGTTGAATGGGTTATGGCTATTTCCTGTATCTGAGCATGTTTGTGTGTTTGTGTGTCCTACCAGTGCACATCCTGGGCAGGTGTTGCCATTCTCACAGCTGCGGACCCTGGAGTGGACGCCTCCTCCACACTCTGTGCTGCACTTCGTCCACGAGCCCCAGGGGGTCCAAAAGATTGGTTGAGGACAGGACACGCCTTCGTTGCAGAATCTGGTGAGATTGCAAAGTGGGAAAAATTAATCTACGGTCCATAAAATTAATCTGCTGCATCCGAGGTACACAAAGGAGCGTCATCGCAGATCCTTCCTCCCAGCTGCTGTCAGACTCTATAATCAGCACCACGCCCAAAAATCACAATAAGTGTTCACAAAAATCACAATAAGTGTTTATACACATGCTGTACTGTTACTATTCATTGTAATTACTCAACTATACTCTGCTGTAACTGCACATCTGTGTTTCTTGTCTGCATTGTGATTCTTGACTTTACAGTTACTGGTCTGTTGAGATTGTTTTGCAATGAAAACAGACAATTTCTGATTTCTAATGTCAGATTCTGACAGTCCACTCTCTCTAAAACAAAACATATCCTAACCCTAACCCTAAATTTTGTTTAGTGTCTACTATCTTTAGTTTGTTAAGTAACTAGTGTGTGAACCTCTCTACTGATGCTGCTGTGACACCTGAATTTCCCCTCTGTGGGACAATAAAGGCTATTCTATTC